GGACAAAAGGACCCCCTGATGATCCTCTAATCGCCTGAGCCAAGGTGTGAAACTGGGTATGGGTCCCAATCAGCCAATTGTCTCCAATTCTTTCTATCGGAAAGCCACTGTAGTGCACAAGCTTTCTAAAGCCTGTTGGGAAAAAACCCAAATCCTTTCTGAAACCAGTTCAAGAAGTTTTGTTTTTCAAATCTAACCAAGCCTAAATCTATCTGCAACTGAAAACTGTAGTCTGAAGGAAATAATTGATTCTTTTCTGTGATTGCACTCAAGACAAGAACCCTAATTTTCTAAATAAATCATTAGCATGGATAAGTGAAACCAGTGTGGATGTGAGTTAAACTAACATTTTTTCCACATGCCTGAAGAGAGCGACTCCTCAGGTTAAGTTGTATAAAAGTCTGTGTGCTGTGGACTGCTGTCACACACAGGATTGTGGATTGCTTGGAGCCCAAATGCAGGATGCAGGAGACAGAAGTAAACATAAGCTGAACTGTTAATGGTGTTGAATCCAAAAGTCCAAAAAAACAAATTGAAGGCAGGAGACTTTCAAGAAATACTAGAAACCACAGAACTAGGAAACACAAAGCTACTTTGAAACACATGAAGACAAAGATGAGACTGTTAGAAGGAACTGAATGGAAACACTGGTAATGTCACTAAATATAAACCTAAAGTCATCAGAAACTAAAGCTAAGAACTGAAGTCACAAATAACAAAGCTCATACACACAAGGTTAACAAATAGTATTATTAACAGAAAACTAAATACTGACTAAGCAATGTATATAGAAGCCAATGAAAACCCAAATACTACAGACTTAAAACCGCGGGTTTAACGCTGAGACATCCAGACAAGGATGAAGGCCGTCGTTTTATCACCTGTATGCTATGAATGTCTCTGCAGTCAGTGTGAGCTCAGTGCCAGTGGTGTCGTCTGGCTTCAACAGAAAGTTTTCCAGATGGAAAACCTTCATCTCTCCCACAGGACACGAAGAAAAGCTTTACTAAAAAGCAAAAAGCTACACCTGAAGCTCTGGACAGGATCACAATTAAGCCAACTGTTCATGTCTGTGTGCGAATGTGCGCTTGTGGTTTATCTCTGGAGGCTAAAGTGAGAAAGAAAGATCTGGAACAGCGCCCTGATAACTTCAACATAACTATCAAGTTCAAATTCATTTTAGGTTTATTTATGTAGCATGAGGTGTCAACAACCATCAGCTCAAGGGACTATTGTATAGTAAATTAAAGACGGTACAATATTACAGAGTATCAGAACAGCCCATAGTGACAGTAGTGAGGAAGAACACGCTTTCAACAGGAAGCAACATGGTGGCTCTTACTCATCAAATCAGAGACTAATGCCATCACACGGTCCCTCTTACAACGAGAGCTTTCACTACAGGATTATTATAGTCAAAAGGACAATTTTTGTGACAAAAATATTTTGATATGTATGAAAAAAATCTAAATATTTATAATAAACAATAATTTAATGCTATGTTTTGAGAATGGCATGGTTTTGTTTAGTGATAACATAAAGCCCGATGACAGTGGTGGT